TTTATAAAACGAGTGCTTCTGGAGATGGCTATTACAGCAAGAAATGTGTCAATTCTTGCAAAAACAGACAGACACCTTTAGTCCAACTAGTGCATTACATCAAAAGCTTTTCTTCCCCTTCCAATTGAAATGCCATAGTGGAATAATGTCATTTAAATGCTTTCTTAGTTTTCCACAAGAAAAATTTTTCCTGCTTTTCTTATAACTTAGAATGCTTCCCACCCTTCAAGCTCCTATTCCTGCAAGGCCACCTCTGTTGATCATTCATTGCGATCATTCATTGGTAAGGACATCTGTTCTCAAGCAAAGAAGGCTTGAGGACGCGAATGTGTTAAAAAATTGTTCATGAAAAACTTGGATACTGTACTGAGATGCCCTACCTCTGAACTTCCCTCAACTGCTTGTGTCACTGTTTACTCTTGTGGCAGTTCTGTGGTTATAGATTGTGGTTATTTCTGTATTGTTATTGTGTCCCTAGACTTAAAAGTATGTAGTGGGTCTTTTGTTTCGTTTTTGCCACAGAGTCTTACTGTACAGTAAGACTGGCCTCGAACTCACAGGGATCCTTCTGCCTCAGCCTTCTCAGTGCTAGGATTACAGACATGTGCCATCACATCCAGCTTCCAGGCCTCTTTTGTGTTTTTTAAATTTTGAGACAGGATCTGACTAATTTGCCTTGGAATGGGGGTTACAGGTGTGTGGCACTACACCCAGTTTAGCGTTTTAAACAAGGTAAACGCTTGTTTATTGCAGAATGTTAAGCATTCTAAAGAAACTTACAGTAGGGAAAGATAGCTCCATCCAAGGATGGGGTTCAATCTCCTGAGAGTTGCCTAGAGGAAATACAGCTTTAAATTGTTTCTGTGTCTCATTGAAAAATGCTTAAGATTATTACGGAGGGTTTTGACAGAGACTCACTTTTAATTATTTACAAACACGTGCTGAGCATCCCTAATCCCTAATCTGAAAGCCTGAAACCTGCAGTGAGCAGGTTAGCACTGAGATGATACAGCCACAGATGGAAAATTCCATAATTGATCTTCCGTGACAAGTGAGGGGTAAACCCTTGACGCACTGAAAATAGTACACAAATCACCATCGGGGTATGTGCACAAAGTGTGTATGAGAGAGATGTGGATTTCCTGGTTAGACTGGGGTCCCTTTCCAAGGCCTCGCCTGTGTGTAGGCATTTCAGACTGTGGGCCCTCACCCCAGTGTGTTTGTGTGCGTTTGGGGAGAGAAGTGTTCAGTGTTGTCAGCTTCTTCCAGGGATCTGTGATCAAAAACAAAAATGTGCCTCTTCCCAGTGTAAGCTGGCCTGTGTCACCCACCTCCAGCCAGGCACAGGCAGCTCTCTGCCCCTGTTTTCTGGTATGCAGGGCGGTTTTGGGGGAGGGAGCTGAACTTTAAACCTTTTGTTCTGCTAGAGCCACAGGTAGTGCAGTAGGTGGACTCTAGAACTGTCCAGTTCTCTAGGAATCCTGGGGGAAAGTCAGTGTTCTATGTTCTTTCTTTAGTTATTCATCAGGTTACTCTTTTCCAGACCCTTGTACAGACCTGGTCTTGTGGCTGTGTGTGTCCGTGTATGTGAGAGAGAAAAGAGAGACAGACAGACAGACTGACCTGCTACATAGTCCAGGCTGGCCTTGAAATCACTATTTATCCCAGGCTGTCCTCCAACATACATGGATCCCACTGCCTCAGCCTCCTGTGGGCTGGGACTACAAGTGTGCACTACCACACTGGCTGCCCTGGTTTCTCTTTAAAGTCTGTTGTCCATAATCTCACAATACTTCAGGTGTGATCTGGCCATCTCAGAACTTTAAATTTCTTTCTCACAGATGTTTCTTATAACTAACATACCCTACGCTGCATTAATTTAAAAATACTTTAATTATAAAATATTTCAAACAAATAGAAAAATACTGAAAATAATATAACAAGTCACCTGATGTGTGTCATTAACTTTTGTCCACATACAGCTGAGACCTTTCCTGGCCGCCCTCAGCAGCCTGGCATGAGCTTGTGACTGTCTACTGTGGACTTAGACTTGCGGGCAGTCGGGCTCACTATTCCTCCATCCTGGTGCCCACAGAAAGACTTTCTGGAGCCCATTTATCCTTTAGCCAGAGACAGTGTAGTAATAATTGGCCAGTGTTCACTGAGCATTTATCATGTGTGAGTATGAGTTAAACATGTGGTGCCTATTCACCACCTAGCAACCCTGGGAGGAGGCCACTGTTTTTCATCCCTGGCTTCAGTCCTTGTACCACACACATATCTGGACACATGCACGATAGCGGAGCAGGTACATGGTGACAGCAAGAATTTGGGAACAGGAGTGTGCTTAAATCATTGCATTGCTCAGTGTGGCTCAGGGGTTGATTTTATCTTTTTGTGTTTAACACTGATGTTGAAAAACCAAACTCGGTGACCTAAGGTAGCAGTCCTTGTTGAGCACAGTTCTCTGGTCTGCTGTGTCCTGTGGCCCCACACAAACACCAGAAGACCCTGGTGTTCACACACTTTTCAGGCCTCTGGGTCACAATTGCTGTTGTCCTTTCATTCCCCCAAAAGTCCCAGGGGAGCCCAGAGGTGAGAGAGTGGAGGAACACTTTCTGTGCTGCTGAGAAGAGCTTCAACACTTGCAACCACTTTTATGACAGACTTTACCTGCCAGTCTTGGCAGCAGTGGGAAAGAGCTTTTACAGATGGGGAAGTGGCTTTCCTAGGGCCCCACAGCGGGTGCAGGGTGCCCAGTGCCCGGTGCCAGGGCCGTGCTGTGGGGCTCTGTGCTTCCACCTGCAGCCTGCACTTGTGAGACATCTCTCGCATCTTGTCTGTTGTTTGTAACACTAGCACATTAGAGGCCCTCTGTGACACCCCCTGAATTGCGCCTTACACAGGAGACTGCCTTTCCTTCTTCTTTCCGTCTGTCCTTCCTTCTTTCCTCTACAAATATTTGATCACCAGTTGCATGTAGACCTGGCTTTTGTGAAACTTACATTCTAGCTGAAGACAGAAACAAATAAAGCAAATCACAGCATTTCAAATCAAGAAGGGCACTATAAAGAGTAATAGCAGGGAAAAAAAAGAATGATAGGGCAAAGGATGCCACGAGATCAGGGGAAGATTAATTTGTAGGGTTGAGATTTAGGGTAAGAGACTATGTCTTTGTCTTTTTTATCTATAAAGCAAGACTCAGAGAGAATGGTAGCTGAGTACCTGCAGGGAGGTACAGGGGATGTTATAGCAAGGAGAGAGGAAGACTTCACAGGATTCTCTTTTTTTATAAAGGTGAAACTTGGGCTATTTTTCACAGCTCTAGAATTTAATGATCAGTATGGTAAAACGGTATTTTGTTAGTTGGGGACCTCTGAGCTCTTTAAAAACCTGTGAGCTCTTTTGAAATATATATGGGGAAATATGAAATATATTTGGGGAAATAAATAGGAAAATAAATTTCTGTCCATGTGACACTTGTCTTAGTCTCAGTAACAAAACAGGGAAGATGTATGCTTAGCAGATACTGAGAGCTGAAGAATTCGGTGATAGAAATACAAGGTTCAGTAAATATGACTTACAATGGGTTTTTGGAGTATTATCAGGAAATTAGGGACATTATGTCACATGCAAGTTGTGTGATATCACTCAATGGCCAGGGAAGGGAATAAGTGGCCTTTTATAATCAGGAAGGTCTGCTTTTTATCAAGTCTAAACCTTGTTATTGAGACTAATATCTTAAGTGTCTGCTTAACTAATTGCTGACCTGATAATGGTGAGTTACCCAACCCCTTTGGTAGCTTACCTCAACCCGGGCTTCCAGTTTCAGTCTAGAAACCAGTAGTATTTTCTTAAGAAAGGCTTGAAGTCGTTTGGCAGCAGGCCCTGATTTTAATAGCTGATGCTTCATTTAATCCCACTTTGTATAAATGTGCAATGTTTTGCTGAAGAAATACAAGACAGTAATGGATTATGGGATGCACTGCCCACCACTGACTGCATTTCATTCTGAATTTTGCCACCCGTCTATCCAAGTGTAGCCTATAATAAATACCTTTACTAAGAATTAAAAGTAATGTGTGTATTATGTCTGGCCATTTATTGCATTTTGGCCAGTTATTTTCAGAGGGAAGGAGTTGGTAAATTGTTATTAAATAGTCTGTGAATATATTCACTTATTCTTCAAGCCTCTTACTGGGTATTTTTAGGTGCCAGATGCTATTAATGTAAGATGACAAGTAAATATTAGGTTTCACAAGTAATTTTTAATTATTGGAAATGAAAACAAAATTCTTGGGATTATGTGATTTTAAAAAAACCACCTTTATTCTGTAGTCATTGTGTCCGTGTTAGGAAATTAAGCAAATACACACACAACACAGCAAAGTACATTCGGAGCCCCCCGTGCCTGGCTGGGATTTCCTACCAGTGGATTGGCCCATGTATTGTGAACCTATTCCCTGTGGCTAGATACTGCACATGTGCCATCTCTGCTGCAGAGTGGGCGGCCTGGTGTGTGGGGTGATGGGGAACTCTGCCCCCTGCGACCCTCAAACTGCTAGAGCTTGCAACCGTGTGCAGCGGCCCCTCCTCGCGGCCCGGGGGAGCCAACTGCGTTGGGGCGGACAGGGGGCGCGGGAGACCCAACGACCTGTACCTCTCGCAGCGCGGCTGCCAGGCTCGGGGCCGCACCGCTGGCGGCAAAGGGTGCAGCCGGGCCAGAGGGGGACCTCGGCCATACGCAGGTGCGGGCCTCGCGCTGGGGCGGCCTGGGAGGTCAGCCGCGCGGGACTGCAGTTCTAGCCAAGTCGGGTGACGCGGGGAGACATGGAAACCGGGGGCCGGTCCCCGTAGGGAAGAGTGTTGTCTCAGAGGGGCTTCCGCCAGAGGGCGATCGCCCCCACTTGCGAGCCGCCGGCCAGTCCCACAGCCGCAGGTTCCGGAGGGAGACCCCGCCCCGCGGGGGAGGGTTTCCGGACGGTGCGGGGCCAGAGTGAGGGGAGGTGTCTTGCGGGTGGGACCGGGCCCTGCCCCACCCCGCATTGGTCCGGCGCAGGGCCTGCGCTGCTCGGGGTGGATGCAGGTGGCGTCGCTCTTGCCCCTCGCGCCCCTCGGCGGATGCCTCCCACCCTGCCCCAGCCAGGGGAGGAACAACGCCTGTGGATCCGCAGTTCCCATGGCCGCAGCCGCCTGTAGCTTCAAGGCCATGGGCCTCTTCAAGCGCACCTGGGTGCTGAGCCCGGCCGCGGCCCCCAGGGGTGGCTCCCGGTCCCCCGCTGCATGGCCCTGCAAGGACTGGTCCCGGCTACGGAGCCTGGCTGGCCGCCTGCCCCCGCCCCACGCCCACTCCCACGCCTGCTCCTCGGCCCCGTCCAGCGCCTCGTGTCTCTGCCCACAGGACGCACTCAGCAGCAGCATGAAGACTTGCTACAAGTACCTGAATCAGACCAGCCGCAGCTTCGCTGTTGTCATCCAGGCGCTAGACGGGGACCTTCGGTGAGTGGGGACCTTCGGTGAGTGGGGGGGGGGGCGGAGCGCCCAGCTGCGCATTTTACTTTCCAGTGCCCTTCCAGCTCCTGGCCACCTGCTACTGTCCCTGTAGGCCTGCTTTCCCAGGAGCTCAGTGTTTACTAACTTTTTTTAGTCCTGGCAGCTGAGCCCTCTCTTGTCGATCAAGCCCTGGATGGCTCGCTCTGGGGCTTCCCTTTGGCCGCCTTGCCTTTCTGCCACAGTGGTTAATTCTTTAAAGCCTGAATTTACAACTTCGGGCTTTCTTTTCACTTGGAGAATTTCAGTTTGCTCCAGACATTTGCCTGTTGATACACGTAATTGTTCCGCAGTAGTTTTAGGTAACCCTGGGTGCAGTCATGCTGTGTGCAAACCTGCTTGGTTTTTAATTTTGTGTTGTATAAACTACAGTTCCATCATGTCATTTAAGAAAGGAAAATTGGCTGGGCGTGGTGACTCATGCCTGGAATCCCAACATTCCAGAGGCTGAGGCAAGAGGATCATTGCGAGTTCGAGACCAGCCTACGCTACAAAATGAGCTCAAGGCCAGCGTGAACTTCATAGAGAGACTCTGTCTCAAAAAGACAAAAAAAAAAAAAAAAAGGAAAATTGACGTACATTTTGTCAGGCATGCGCACCATCGTTTAGTAGTCCTGTAGAGTTAAGGGTGTAGGCAGCTTTAGAAAAACTGCCTGCACAAATTAGGTGTTAGGGGGCTGGGGATTTAGCTCAGCAGCATAAGCACCTTCCTTGCAAGTGTGCGGTGCGGTCTTGAGTTCGATCCCTGGTACTGATAAAAACGAAAAAGACAAAAAAAAAAAATTAGGTGTTATTTAAAACCAACGATTGCTTGTTCCAGCGGAAACAGCCTTTGCTTTTTGCAGCCACGCTGTGTGTGTGTTTTACCTCGTTCTCCGGGCCCTGGACACGCTGGAAGATGACATGACCATTTGCTTGGAGAAGAAGGTGCCCCTGCTGCAGAGCTTCCATACCTTCCTGTACGACCCAGACTGGCGCTACACGGAGAGCAAGGACAAGCACAGACAAGTGCTGGAGGACTTCCCCACGGTAGGCAGTGGCTTGCAGGCGCTCTGTGTGCCCTTGGGCATACATGGCAGGCAGTTCGCCTAGAAGGCCTGGAAAAGGAACAGTGGGCAGGCAGCCCCTGGAACAGTTGCATTCAGTGTCCTGAGTGCTAGGAGAGTGAGGGTCATAGGGCTCTGGGAACATCAGCAGCTGCTTTCCCTCCAGGGTGGTGCTGGCAAGTCTGCAGTGGGCAGATGTGTCCTGAAAGGTGGATTCCTCTCAGACTGGCTCACTCAATCGTGGTCTGGGTCATGCAGTGCAACTGCACTGCCCTGGGTAGCCTGGGCTTGGTTCCCAGCACTGGAGTGACTGAGGGAGGGATGGTGATCCTCTGCTGCGGCTGAGAGCCCTGTGGTGGTGTGCTGTGCCTATCTTCATTTGCAGAGTTAGAGCTGAAAGGATTGAATAACCCCATACGTGGTAAGTACTTAGAGTAATGCCTGGTACAGTCTAACTATTTCCAAGTATTAGTTTGCAGGTCCATTTTGTTGAAGTAAAGTAGATTATAATTAAAATCCTCAGCCATCAAGGATTTTTCAGACTTATATAACTGAGTCCTACTTTTCTAGAATTTATATGTCATATCACACAAATAAGTAACCCTTCCATATCTTACAAGTAAAGGATTGATTTAGTAAAGTCACATGTTCTCTAATTGCCCACCTTTTATATACAGTGCCAGAGTTTTGGCACAAGAATAGTCCTTACGTGGCTTTTGCTCTTGAAAGAAATATTTATATTTCTGAATGGGGAGTGGGGTAGAGAAGAGAGTTTAGGCCTTGCAAAGAAAGCTGGAGATAGGCCTTGTGAAGATCTCATCTATATTGCCAGAGCCTGAGGTGTAATACAGTACAGTGCGGCTCCAGAGGAAGAGTGGCTGGAATTGGGCCTGGGGAAGGTTCGACTGGTGTGTTGGTACTCTCAGGACACCTGATGGCTGGAACATGGGTTTCCTGTGGCTGGGCTGGACACTGGCCACTCACTACTGGACCTTTGAGCTCTGCTGAAGCAGATAGGGTGCCACAGCAGTAAAACTCATTTATAATTGAAATCTGCCTCTAAAAACTTGTTATTCTAGCTAGATCTACATCCAAAAGCCGAATCAACCAAGCAAGCAAGCCCACAAGAGAGATATTATTATGTATGGTAAACATGTACCAATAAAAAAAAAGTGAGCAAAAGTAACCCCTCTCCCAACTATTTTTAACTTGAATAGATTTATAACAGTAATAGGTAAATGTCTTAGGTATAATAAAAAACTGAATTATATGAATGCTACAGAAATGTGGGACAGATAGCTAGTAAATTTTCTTTATTTGTTTTAAATTATCTTTATTTTTTGAGATGGGGTCTCACTGTATAGTTCAGGCTGGTCTCGAACTCACTGTGATCCCTCTGCCTCAGCCACCCAAGTGCTGGAATGACAGGCAGAGGTGTTTCCCACCACACCTGGCCACTAGTTAATTTTCAGCTGCTATTCCAATATGTTTGCATAGCCTTAGGGTCTTCCTTTATGCATAGCACTGCAGTGGAAAATGCTTTTCTCTGGAAATGTTCATAATGGAACATTAAATTGATGTTTTCTGAAAGCAGAGAAATGAAAGGGAGCTAAAGTTTGAGACAGGAAGATACATTAGCTTTTTGGTGCTGTGATTAAATTCCTATGCAGAACAACTGAAAAGAGGAAGAATTTATTTTGGCTCATGATTTTAGGGGTTCTAGTTCATGGTCAGAGTTCCCAAGGGCAGAGGAAGCAGTGTGGCTCATAGTTGCTTGCTGTGTCCAAAGAAGGACGTGACTGGGCCAGGCTGGGGTGGCCAGAGCACCCTCTGTCCCTTGAGTCTCTGGGAATGCAGCTCTTCCTGTCACTTTTTCCTCCATATTTTTTCTTTTTGTTTTGTCTTTTTGAAGCAGGGTCTCACTGTGCAGTTCAGGTTGGCCTTGAGCTCACTTTGTAGTCCAGGCTGGTCTCAAACTCTCAAGGATCTTCGAGCCTCAGCCTTTCGAGGGCTGACATTTCAGGCGTGAGCCACCAGACTGGCTTTGATTTCTGTTTTGAATTGCACAATTTGGTAACAAGTGCCAGCAAGCTGTTGAAGGGAATAGACCCAAGTTCCAAGTCCTGGGTGGAAGTGTTTATATTGGGGTGTTTATTTTGGGCCCAAGCCTCTTCTACTGCCCTTGTTGTTCTGTCCTCTTACAAATAGGACTGGGTCTGCCTGAGGGGCTGTGACGGGGACAGAATCATCTGGAGAGTCCCTAGTTCAGATGCCCCTGGGTGGAGCTGCCCGGTAGTTTTGGTCAGCCAGAGGAATCCCGTTTTGGCTTTAATGTGGAGCAGCTGTCCTGAAAAAACAGATTGGATTTATGGGTTGGGGAATTTAACACTGATAGTCGATAGAGAAACCAGCACTGCCTAGGCCTCTGCGTGCACAGGCCTCCCACCCGACTGGTACCCTGCAGAGCCTTGAGCTGAGGTATTTCCTGACATTTTTCAAATGTTTCTGTCAAGGTAGACCCAGAAAATCCACACTGGTCACCTTTACAGCACCTGTTGGCTGTATTGTAACATTAACATTTTACAGCATTTTGTGTAAGTTTTGTGGTGTTTTTGTGTTGGGTTTTGATGACCTTTAAATGCTTCTTTGAACTTAACGTATTTGTGCAGTTGCATGGAATTTTTAAAAGCACAAGTAGTACTCTTCCGTATCACTTTGGGCTTGTAAAGAAAAAAATACTGGGTTACAGGCCTTAAACTAAATCATTTAAGGACTATGAAGGGTGTGGCATTGGGGAGGGAGACAGTAGCTTCCCGGTGTAAATGGGGAGCTGAGAATGGGATGCAATCGGCCGAGCTCACCAGAGCTGAGCTCTGCAAGAGCACAGAGTCTCTTCTTCGGGGCCACGTGAGCACAGTTTCCTATTTTGTTTTTTCATGGTCTCCTTTTCAGATCTCTCTGGAATTTCGAAGTCTGGCTGAGAAATACCAAACTGTGATTGTTGACATTTGCCAGAAAATGGGAAATGGGATGGCAGAGTTTTTGGTTAAGAATGTGACCTCCAAGCAGGAGTGGGACAAGGTCAGTGTCTGTGGTGGGATCTGTGTGTGGTGCTTAGAGCAGAGCCGCCAGTCGGTACCCTGGGCGGGGGGGGGGGGCGTGGGGCTGCGGCGTTTCCCTGCGGCTGCGTAAGGTTGGCTTACTTTCATTGGTATATTTTATATATACATAATGATCACATTCACCATAGGGAATTTTTACTTCTACATAATAAATCTTGATTCTTTTTTTCCCCCTAATTCCTCCTCGCTACCTTCAACCTCTCTTTCCCTCTTTATATACAAAAGCTTTATTTTATTTATTCCTTCTATTCTTTTTTTCTTTGCCCTTCCTTCCTTTTTCCTCTCTCTCTTCTTCCCTTTCCCATTTAAACATTTTTCCCTATTACCCAATATACGTTTTGGGCCTCATATACTTTTCTGTTTCTCCCACCAGAGAAACAATACAATTTTTAAATGTGTGTCTGGTTTATTTCACTCACAGAGTATGATGTCAGGGTACATCCATTTAGCTAAAAAGTCTCAAGCCTGTCCTTCTTGATGGCAGAGTAGTACTCCATTGTATTAAAAAAAGCCACACCATCGGCTGAGGGGTCTTGGGACTGAGGAAACTTACCTTTTTTGTAAATAATTATTTCCAGTATTTCCATTTCAGTGACAGTGTTGTTAAAAAACTTTTCAAATAATCCTTTACAGTACTGCCACTATGTGGCTGGGCTGGTAGGAATCGGCCTTTCGAGGCTCTTCTCAGCCTCGGAGTTTGAAGACCCAGTGGTGGGCGAAGACACGGCTCTGGCCAACTCCCTGGGGCTGTTCCTGCAGAAGACAAACATCATCCGAGATTACCTGGAGGACCAGCAGGAGGGTCGGGAGTTCTGGCCACAGGAGGTAACAGTTCGGGTGAGGGAGGGATTCACACTGAGCTGGTCGTGGGCACTGGGCTTTCAGGGGGGAGATGCAGGTGGCCCCCCTGCCACAGCTGCACCGGAGCCTTGGTCTCAGTGCTGTCCTTGGTCCAGGCAGCTGGGAGCTGCGGGCACCAGCTTGTCCACGAGGTTCAGGAGTTGCATAGTGCTTACGCTGCTTTCTGAATCTGTTCCCGACCCTGAGTGGACTAGGTCTGCCGGTGCTCCTGGGATGGGGTGCCCCAGGAAGGGTTCTGTGGCCAGGGGAGGAGGGGGCTGGGGTGTGCTTGCCCTGCTCACCTGGGGCCCTGGGTTCTGTCCCCAGCAAAACACAGAAGAGGGAGGAATAATGCGAGACCCAAAGCTACAGAACTAGAGGTAGCCACTGTGAGAGACAGGAAGAAGGCTTTGTTTTGTTTCTGTTTTTTGAATCAGGGACTCTTTGTATCCCAGGCTGGCCTTGAACTCTGCAGCAGTGCTCCTGCCTCAGCCTCCTGGGTGCTGGGTTACTGGCATGCAGCACAGTGTGAACCGTCATCTTGAGGCCCAGCTGCCTGAGGATGCCGAGTGCCCCATTAGCTGGGTGTTTGCTGGGCCTCCTGCCTGACCTGGGACTCTGTACTCTGAGGTCCCAATGGCTCTGTTTGGTGTGTGCTGCCCTGATTGCTGCCCTGTGTGCCTAGGGCGAGACCTGGACAGCACTCTTCGCTGAAGGAGCCCATCCTGCCGGCAGCAGGGAGGATTTCTGCCACAGTTCATAATGTCCCATTTTAGATGCTGGAGGTCAAACCCAGAGGTGCCCTAGTGGGCCTATCAGCACTGGTGCTGGCCCACCAGACCCCAGAAAGGTGGCTTAGCTTCAGCCCTGAGTCACCTGTGCATGGCAGTGACAGCCCTTTCGCCCCTCTCCTCACGACCAGGTCTGGGGCAGGTATGTCAGGAAGCTGGCAGACTTGGCGAAGCCCGAGAACATTGATGTGGCCGTGCAGTGCCTCAACGAGCTCATCACCAACACTCTCCACCACATCCCCGACATCATCACCTACCTGTCCCGGCTCCGCAACCAGAGCATCTTCAACTTCTGCGCGATACCCCAGGTGCGGGCGGGGACCGGGCAGGGAACTGAACTCAGTCCTGGTTTGCTCACTGTCCCGAGGAGGACGGTTCCCCAACACGGTGACTCGCTGGATTTAGTGCTGGGTGTGGGCATCAATTCCCAGCCATGGCTTTTCCTCTCAGCTCAGCCCAATCTTCAGTCCCCTCTTTTCCAGAACCTTTCTCCTAGATCCACTCTTCTCCCACCCACTAGTGTTCCTAATTAGCCAGAGCCTTGTGCTTACAGTGAAGGCAAAGAGTTCAAGGTCATGAATTCAAGTTCCAGTACCAAAAAAAAAGGCAAGGCCCTAAGCTTGGATTTATGGCGCGTGATGGGTGAAATGTGGGTGAGGCTGTTACTGCTAACCTTTCATTCATTTATTTATTCATTCCCTCATCCCCTCACTCTGGGTGCTGGGGACGGGGCCATGGCCTTGAGCTGCAGCCCCAGCCCAAAAACCATCAGCATCTAAATGTCTTCATTAGAGGCCTAATTTCTGTCCTTTACTAGGGATGACAAGAGCGATCCTATACATCTATACACTTTTTGTTCTAGGAGATCGTACCCATTCATTGTCTTTATTCGTCAATCCAGTTAGTACCTCTAGTTAGGGCAGAAGGCCGTAGGATGTCACTGATCTGGAACTTGGTTTCCTCTGACCGATGGACCAGCTTGGAATGGCGAGCAGCACTGAAATCTCCCATGTCTGTCTGAACGTTTCTTTATCCGCACCTTGCCTCTAAGCACAGGAGATGTGCTTCTGTTGTCTGCCTCATTCTATTTTTAAATACGTGATCATTGGGCTGGGGATTTAGCTTAGCGGCATAAGCACCTGCCTTGCAAGCAGGCAGTCGTGAGTTCAATCCCCGGTACCGATAAAAAAGAAAAAGAAAAAGGCAAAAAAAAAAAAAAAAAAAAACGTGATCATTGTTGTCTTAGTTACTTTTTACTCGTCGCTGAGACAAAATACCTGAAGCCCAAAGTTGGGAAAGGAAAGGTTTATTTCTTACAGTTTTTGGAGGTTTCAGTCCACACTCAGTTGGCTCCAAGACAGGCGGGCATGGCTGGACTGCCATTCATGGCGGCTGCAAACAGCAAGCTCGAACCAGCAAAGAGGAAGACACACCTTCTTCCTGCCATTACATCACATCCTGGCTCCACCCCTATGTGGGTGGAGCACTGACACCATCAATCCAAGCACTATACAGTGAACCATCACAAATGAACAATGCAAACTCATGAGGCCTGGGGGACACAAACATAAACCATGACAATTGTGTTCATTAGAAACAAAGAGAAAAAAGCTACAATTGAAAATGCTTCCCAGATAGAATCATGAAATACATATTTGAGACTTGACAGTCTGCTGCCTCAGCATTTTTAAAATAAGGTGAAGTTTTTGTGGCTAAACAGCAGGGTGAATAGCGCAGCACTGCTTTGACTCAGTGGGTCCCTGAGACTGGGCAGGCTTTACCAGCACTTCCTTCCCGGGTGTAGACAGTTGCCAGTGGTAACAGCCTGCCGCAGGCAGTCGAGCACCCCGTGGCGCTTTCCTTCCCTTCCCACGGAGGTGTGCAGCGCCACTGATCACCCTTCTCTGTCCTGTTTCCCTCCTCATCCCCCGCAGGTCATGGCCATCGCCACCTTGGCCGCATGTTACAACAACCAGCAGGTGTTCCGCGGGGTGGTGAAGATCCGCAGGGGCCAGGCGGTCACCTTGATGATGGATGCCAACAACATGCCAGCCGTGAAGGCCATGATTTTCCAATACATGGAAGAGGTGGGTTATTTCTGGCTAGCTGTACGTGTGGCCTAATGTCACTGCCTATCACACCACACTTGGACAGTAGGAATCCTAGTAGGATGCTGTGCTGGAGCCCAAGGACACAGGTGTCCTTTATTAGGGAAACTAGTTGTGCTCAGGAGCTGAGCTGAGCAGAGGGCCAGAGCCACTGGGGGCCTGGCCATCAGGTGAGTGAGGTCAGGCTTGGCAGGAGCCTCTCTGAAGGGGTTTTTGGTCTGTTTTCGTTTTTTTGTCTGAGTCAGGGTCTTACCATGCAGTTCAGGCTGGCCGTGAGCTCACTTTGCAACCCAGGCTGGTCTTTTGAACTTGTAGTACTCCTCCTGCTTCAGCCTCCTGAGTACTGGGAACAGTTATATGACACCATGCCCAACTTTTTTTTTTTTTTTTTGATGCTGAGGATGGAACCCAAGGCTGTATGTCCTAGGCACGCGCCCTGCCCCGGCTACCTCCCCAGCCCAACAGTTCTGTGCTGCTCCACCACTGTGTGGCCCAGGCCACACATTGCTGAGTGAACCCTGTGCTCCAGCCCCTGTGTCACAACCCCTGGCCCGTGGCTCTGAGGAGCCACAGTAGGATGGTTAGGTGGAAGGGGACTCCGAGTTACTGATGATATTTGCTCAGATCTGATCCCTGCTGTAGGGAGGGTCTCGCACACACCAGTTTCTGGCTGTCTCCTCTGGTCCCAAGCTGCCAGATGGTGGCTTTCAGTGGATGGGACTCATCCCCTCCCTGGGGATACCCAGGGGGGCACTGCTGAGGGCCTCAGGTCAGTGTCCTGCAGATGGGAGACTGTGGACTATATGGCACACGAAAGGCCCCTCCTCCTCCCCTTCCTGAGCCCCCGCCGGGGTGACCACTGTCGGGGTTTGTGAGCCCTTTCTTTTCCTCCACTTCCCCGTGCACTTGCAGGATGGGTCTGAGGCAACATTTTCACCTGAGCAGAATTCTACAGAACCCAGATATCCTCCCCCATTGCTGTCAGATGCAGCACCTCCTGTGTCTCCTCCTCGCCTTTTCCCTGGCAGGTTTTAGACAGCAGCATTTCTACCTAGCGAGGGTTGAAGAGAAAACCAAATCATAGAAAACAACAAAAGCAGGCGTGGAGGTGCACTGCTGTAATCGCAGTGCTCGGGAGGCTGAGGCAGGAGGGTTGCCACAATTTTCAGGCCTGCCTGGGCTGTGGGGCGAGACCCTGTCTCAAAAAGACAACAGAACCCCTACTACAACTCCTGCAGTAACCGCAGTGGAGATTATTCAGCCATTCATTGACCAAAGCGTTCCTGCCAGGGACTCTGGCTCTCATGTAGCTGGCACTGGTTTTGAGCTTACTGTGTAACTGGCCATAGTCAAGGGTTAGGTGAGTGCTTACCAGGAAGAGGGAGACAGACTTCTACCACGTGGCTACAGCCATAACATGGACAAGTTTGTTCCCAAAGAGCTGTGTTGTCAACCGCACAGTTCAAAGGAGTCATATTTACCTTTCACAACAGACTGTGCCATTGTGGGCACATTATTTTCACTTTATATAAATTAGAAACATGTTTTGTACTATATATAGTTCAAAGGTTTTTTTGGATTTGCATTTTTATTGTTTTGGTTTGGTTCTTTGTTTTGTTTTTGGTACTGGGGATCCGGCACCGTTTTACGCTGATCATTGACTTTAGCAAACCATGTTCTAGCTGGGCTTGGTGGTGCATGCCTATCATTCTAGCACTCAAGAGGCTGAGGCAGAAGGATCACCATAGTTCCAAGACCAGCCTGAACTACATAGCAGAATCTTGTCTCCAAAAACAAATCCTACATGTTATTTTTATTTTGTTCAGAGGTAAAGGTAGGCAGGCCGCCTGGCCTCCTGTTTTTGTAAATACGTTTTTTGTTGGAACAGAGCCACAGCAATTGTTTATACTGTGCTTGCTTTTGCAATTTAAGGGCAAAGTTAAGTATTGTGCGGGAGGGTGGCCCCGAGAACTAAAGATACATTTTTAGCAGTTGAAGAGAAATCATGCTGACCTCTGCTCCAGGGCATCTGTCACTGCATCAGGTACAGCGTTGCATGGCTATAATCTTAGCTACTTGGGAGGCTCAGACAGCAGAGGTGGAGTTTAAGGTCAGCTTGGGTAACTGAGACTGTTTTAGGAAGTAAAAATGACAGGAGTGTAACTTAATAAATAAGGAAAGTTGCTCTAGTGAAACTCGAGGTCTCAAGATTTTCTTAAGTTGATTTGGTACAGAAATATCTCTCAAGATCTGTCAGTCCTGAGCAGTATAATCTGATAATATTTTAATGTCAAATTAAGGGCTTTCTGCAAGTGAATTGTTGCAGGAGACTTGTCCAGTGCGTGCATAGGCGGTGGCCTCTGCTCTGACCCAGTCCTCGATGTGGGTTGGGTTTCCTCCTCACAGTCTCTGACCACTGGCTACAGCGAGAGCAGCTGGAAGAGGCTTCCAGGGACCCAGTGTCCCCTCCTGGTGTCTCTCTTGCATGCCCTGTGGCCCCTTGGAGCCACCTTTCCCTGTACAGATCGCCCCGTGACCAGTGGGGTAATCAGAGAGCTTCACACCACAGTGCTCACTGACATGGTTACCAAGCAGATGGCTCATCACTGTTCACACTGCTGCTGATCCCTGTGTCATTTGACAAGGTTGTGCCTTCTTTCCTCGGGCCTCTGTGACACTGTCCAGTTGGTCTCTGGCCTGAGCCTGTCCTGGGTTTCTCTGGCTGCCCTTTTTCCTTCTCTCCTTGATCACTGCTGTGGCCTTGAGGTCCGGCTTGAGCGTCAGGCTTTCTCACTGTGCAGCCACTGTGCGCTTGGAACCCAGCTCAGAGCCAGGCATTGGAGATCGCACCACCCACGTAGAAGCGTCTCTGGGCCTTTCCTCCCTGTCCCCACCTGCAGCTGTGTCTGTTTGCGTCGCCCTTGGGCCAGCAGTCCATAGGCCATGTGGCAGAGCAGCCCATGTTCCAAGCCAGGAGCAAGGAGGATGAGACTGGATCCCAGTCCCTTCTGAGAGCCCTGGCTCCCAGGGGGTCCATTACCTCCCCGAGGACCTCACTGAGGGCAAGAGGGCCACACCTGGGCTTTGGAGGCTGCACCATCCAGCTTTAACTGGAGGTTTTAAAAATCCAGTTGTGTGTTGGGAAGACAATGGCAAGACTGTCCATTGTGTAATAAGAGTTAGGGATAAAAACTTCATTTAAAAATCTATCTGCTTCGAAGCTGGGCAGAATGGCTCATGCCTGTAATCCTAGCCGTTCAAGCTGAGGGAGGAGGATCTTGAGTTTGAGACCAGCCTGAGATAGAGACTCTGTTTCTAAAACAAAAACAAAGCAGTCTGCTTGTCACCCCACCTTGTGCCCCAGACCCAGCTCGGCCTCCCTACCATACCCTCTGCTGGTGCCCATCTGGGTCCAGTGTCCCAGGGGCCTGGTGTGCGCTGGGCTCAGTGCAGGGCTGGAGGTGAGCAGGTGAGACAGACAGGTGGATCCATGACATCTGCCTCACCAGCAAGGAAGGCCCTGCCTCAGAGGTCTTGGTGGGTGGCTAGGGTGAGGCAGGTGAAGGCTCCAGGGTGATGGGGGTAGGCGGGCAGCAGCAGCAGCAAAGCTGTGAAGTCAGCACAATGGCCTGCCAGGGGTGGCCCAGGCCAGTCACCCCACAGCTCAACGATGCCCTGGGTGAGGGGATTGTGTGAGTCTGTGGGAACAGCTTTGAGGCTGTGAATAGGCCCAGGGTTAAAGCAGAGAGGCTGGGGACGCACCAGGAGGGCTCCAAGTCACCCAGTTGGGCTGTATCTGTGGCCAGTATCACACGCTGGCTGGCCTGGCTATTCCTGCTTCATGATGGTCAGCCTAGTGGGTCATGCCGGCCGCCCTCTCAGTTCTTTTTTTTTTTTTGTCTTTTTCCTTTTTATCAGTACCAGGGATCGAACTCACAACTGCCTGCTTGCAAGGCAGGCACTTATGCAGCTGAGCTAAATCCCCAGCCCCGCCCTCTCAGTTCTTAAAGGTCTCGAAGGCTGAGTTGGCAGAGGAATTAAAATGGGGAGGCAGAAAGCTGGGGAGGCCGCTGCCCACCGCAGGTAGAAGGTTCCCAAGTCTCAGAAACTGGAGCCCCCAGTCTCAAAGGTAGATCCTCGTCCTGTGCTCAGGGCCCTGCTGTAGTCTGGCCAGGGTGTGACATCCTGCTCGTCCGGGGAGCAACTTGAGCTGTCACTTGCACTGGCTCTGAGCCTCTGTCTCCTTTCTTGGGGGGGACCAAGTGTTAAGGGTGCACCTGTAGAGGAACCCGAGCAGGGACCAGGAGAGTATGTCTGAATGCTGCCCTTCAAGGGGTGCCTTGCTCACCTCTGTGCTCTGTTGGCAGATTTACCATCGGATCCCCAGCTCAGACCCATCCTCCGAGAAGACAAGGCAGATCATCTCCACCATCCGGACGCAGAATTTCCCCAGCTGCCAGCTGGTGGCCCGGAGCCACTACTCACCCATCTACCTGTCCTTTGTCATGCTCGTGGCTGCCCTGAGCTGGCAGTACCTGAGCGCCCTGTCCCAGGTCACAGAAGACTACGTGCAGACTGGGGAGCACTGAGCACAGGCCCCAGCCGAGGTGCGGGAACCCACAGACTTTGGATGGGACTGGCTTTGTTTTCCTTCCTATTTTAATCCCTCCAGGAACTCAGTGTACTTGGAGCTCAGAAACTGTGAAATGCATTTGCAGGGAATGAGGGAATGAAAGCCAAGGACGCTTTCCCTCGGCGCTGCTGCCTGGGTCTGTCTCCTCGCCACGTTGGTGATGGGGCTGTACGCTCATAGCCACAAAGTCTCTTGCTGCAGACTGGTGGCTGGAATGATAATTAAATGTATTTAATTTGAAGCAGCTTTGAATATCATAATGCAAAATAAATACATTTTCCTTCTCTCCTGTTTGCTTCTCCTCCTTTCTTTGATTTGAATGTGGCAGATGCCAATGTTGGCAGCTGAGACTCCTGGCTGGTCCTTTGCACACGGAGACGGGGATGACCAGGTGTCCTTTTGTCATCAGCGTGGCTTTCAGAGCTGCACCTCTGCCTCTAGCCTGTTTCAGAAGTGGGACTATCACACCAGTGTGGGTGTTTTCTCCTCCTCACTGAGGATTTTTTTCTCATAATCAGAGCCTTCACACTGAGCACTTCTCAACTCTTCATTTTTAGACAAATGCTAAAATTGCCTAGGCTGGGCTTGAACTTTTAAGATCCTCCTGCCGCAGCCTCCTGGGTTTGTTAACACCATGCCCAGCAAGACTGACTTCAGATTTTTTAGCATCAGGTGTAATTACTCAGCGTTTGTCAAGTGCAGTTCACCTGAAAGCCACGTGGCTGCAGGACAGCTAGTTCTGATGACAGGTGGAGGCATCGCACTGGGAGGCACATGGCTGCTGCTGCATGCTGGTGTCGCTGAGCTGCTTTCATCGGTCTCCACTTTCCCTCTGCCATCTTTACTTGGGGCGATTTTTTTTTTTTTTTTGAAACAGTCTTGCTATGCAGTTCAGGCTGTTCAGGCTGGCCTTGAACTTGCAGGGAACCTTCTGCCTCAGCCTCTGGTGTGCTGGGACCATGGGTGTGTGCCATGGCTAGACAAACTCTTTTGGCTGCACTTAGAAAGAAGCCTTAAATTTTTTCTAACTTAAAACATTGAACCAAGAAGGGAAAGAGGTATTTTTGGGTATGGGCTGGAGTGCTGGCTTGATGCTCCCACATCCACACAGCTGAGTTTGTACCTGCAATGTTGCCTGAGACTACCATGGGCAGGCAAGGCCAGCACCGCCCTGCTGGTGCCTTGGCTGGGAATTGATGCTGAGGGGAATTCACTGAGGACCTAGTACTCAGGTGTTAGTCTGTGTCCCTGAGCGCCTTGGAAGAGATGTCACAGGAGAGGCCCATTTGGTGCCTAGAGAAGCCAAGTCCAAGGTCAGGTGACCCCATCAGTTTGCACTTGGATGTGGGGGCTGGGCTGGCCTGACCTTGTCAGTTGCATCTCAGGAGCAGAAGCACCTGGGGCTTAGTACTAATCCCTTCCCAGCCTCTGCACCTTGTCACCCCCACCAGGCCCGCCTTTTCAGAGCCACCCTGGGGACCCAGCTGACACATGGCCTCGAGGGACCCTCAAGTCAGGGCCAGCCACAGCAGCATGTGCACTGTTGGTGGCTGCAGCACTCAGGTTTCTGGAGGTACACATGGAAACACAAGCACTGTTTGTAATCCTGGGGACAATTGACAGTCCACCTGAGGCACAGCCTTGGACAGGCTCCCCACCACCGTCACCATGCTGGAGCCAGACAAGGTAGACCTGCCCAGGAGCACTGCTGGCTGAGTTGGGCTTGTTTTCCTGGTACTTTAAACATCGACCATAACTTGGGGTTTCAAAGGCGGTTGTTAAGAAACTGGTGTGGACTTGGATCCATTCTATATCATGTGGGAGAAGGGATATGTGGTAAAAAGCCTGCTCTTGGGATACACAGCCGCCTCCAGAGCTGCACTGAGGACTGCCCCGGGGATTAGGGGCCTCTCCATGCCCCTTCCAGCCACACCTATACTGAGCACAAGGTTCCAGCACTCAAGTCTTACTTCTGTCCTGTCTGTCCTCACTGCCTGCTTCGCCAGGTAAAACAGGATGCCCAGTGTGTTAAGTTTCTGAGACAAAAAAAGCGGACACCTAAGGTTAGAGGAGGAAGGGTTTATTGTAGCTCAGTCAGGAGAGGCTTCAGTCCATAGCTAGCTGTCTCCAAAACGGGCAGCGTAGCAGAAATCAGCAAAGCAGCAAATGACGGCCGCCCTCTTTCAGTCCGCTGTATTCTAGCCAGGCCTCACACCCATAGGGCAGGTGGCACGCACCCTTAATCGCAGCATCACACACCCAGGCGCAGCCACCTCTGAAAAGCCCACCTGTGGCCTCACGAGGCTTTGGGCGGACATCTAGATACAGCACCAACACCATTAAATTTGAATTCTAGAAAAATCACATCCCAAATAGAAACTCATAGTTCACCTGAGATTCAGACCTCACTGGACACTGTGTACTTCTGTCTGCTAAGCCTCACCATCCTTCCCTGCTGCCCACTTGGATGTGACTGCTCAGGCACCTCCTGTGTGGTCTACATGCATCTGACTTCGCAGAGGTACGCAGCACAGGGGAAGAACCTGGGGTGGGGACACATGGCAAGCCAGGTAACCTTTCCCCCAGGTGAAGCCCATTCCTACCCAACTGAGCCACTTCCTGAGGCCCCGGGCCAGTGGAGAGGGGTGCTAACTCTTGAAGCATTGGAAAGAAGCTCTAACACTGGGTTCTCAAACCTCACCCAACTGTCAGAACAGACTGGACTCATCTGGAGACCGCTCCTCAAAGGCCTTGGCCCTGAACCTCCTTTTTTGTTGGCTTCACTAGGAAGCCCAAGCCGGACTCAAACTTGCAGTCTTCCTGCTTCACCCTCACACACTCGGACTTCAGGCATGTGCCACCCCTGGTCTGCTCCTCAAACTTCAATGTACCTAGGAATTGGTGGCTTTTCTTGGGTTGGAATGTCACTTCAGGTCTAGCATTCTCTCCTAACACTGTCCTCTCCTAACAGGCTCCCAGGTGACACTCACTGCTGGCCTGAGGACCAGCAGTGGAGTAGCAAGCGTCTTCAGACTCAGAAGCATCTGAAAAATGGAAAAGAACCACATGTGGTTGCTCACCTCTGGTCCTGGCTACTTGGGGACTGAAGCAGGACCGTAAGTTGGAGGCCAGCCTGGACAACTGAGCAAGACCTTGTCTCAAAATAGAGAAGGGCTGGGCTGGGGCTCAATGGCAGAGCACCTAGCTCACATATGCAAGGGCCAGACCTGAAGGACAGGAAAGGAGAAATGCAGAGCGGCTACATGGGAACCACCTTGAAGAACACCTTTCCCCGACTGAGCATGGCAATGGCATGGACTCCCTGCTCACCCGCTCACACTCCCAACAGGACAGGAGGGGACACTGAACTTAATGCTGGGCTTAAGGAACAAGGGACCTGGCAACCTAGGAAGATCCAGTCTCAAAAAAAATAACATGTGACTCAGTGTGAACGGCCTGGGTTCAACCCCAGTACTGGGGAATAAAGTACTGCAAGCATCCTGCTTTTTTCCTGCAATGTTCACTTGGTTTGCAGTGCTGGGGACTGAACATAGTAGTACAGTACCACTGAGCTGCCCCCAGCCCTTGCTAAGTAGTTAAGCACTTACTGGAGACTGGCATGGTGGCATGTGCCTGTAAACCCAGCACTTGAGAGGCTGAGGCAGGACTGCCTTCAGTTCAAGGCCAGCCTGGACTACAGTGAGACCTTGTCCAAAAAAAAAAAAAAAAAAAAAAAAAACCCACCACCCAGAGCTTACAGAATGGATGCAGCTTCTGATCCCTAACTTTGTGGGAGACACACAACCCTGGCCTCTGGAAGAGCCAGCTCAGCCAGGGAAGGGAAGTAACAGGTACCCGCAGGCCAGGGGCTGAATACTGACGCAGTTTCCTGTTCCAAGAACTGGGGCAGTAATGCTGGCCCAGCCATGGGGGCTCTCTGCATACTGTGCACAGGGCCCCCAGCCCCCAGACATGGGGCCAGAGGGTGGCAGCCTGGGTGGGTAGGATCTGAACGCCACTTCTTGGGCCTCCTAAGTACACGCCTCGACAGACGGCTGCTGGCTTAAAGACTGCACGCAGCTGCATCCCATGTCTCTGAACAAGGCAAGCTTGTCAGCTTGGGAACAGCTCTGGGGGTGGCTTTAGAGGCGGGTAAAGGAGGAAACCAGAAAAAAGCTGCACGCTGCAGCTGGAAAGCCCAGCTGGCCAGTAAGCAGTCGGCATGAGGCTGAGGCCATGGATGCCAGTGAACCCCAGGTGCATCAGAAGAGACTGAGCGGAGGGGAGACCTTTTATTGGCACAGTTGTTCCTGGTTAGATCGACAGAGTGAAGCACTGATTTTTTTTAAGGAAGATACAAGCTGCTTTCTCCCACACCAGTCTCACGTGGAGTGGAACTCAGCAGGGCAGCCAGTTAGGCCCAAGAGGCGCGGTGAGCCCATGATTAGGAGCGGCCCCTGCAACGAGCGCAGCCGCTGCACTGGCTTGCACACATGATCACCTGAGGTGCACGGAAAAGAAACCATTAAAAGGAGCAGCGAAGGCCAAAACCAACTGGAGAGGACTGCTACACCTGCGGCATGCATGTGTCTGCCAGGGGAGGTGACTTTCTCCAGAGGCTGCCACCACCCGGCTCTGCGCCTGGGGTGGACTTGCTTGGAGGGACACCTGGCGGGGCTCCGTCCTCTCAGAGCCCCTGAGCTGGGATCCTCTGGAGGTCTTGCCTTGAAGCTGTTGACATCAGATGCTGGAGGAGCTGGGGGTGAGCAGGTGGGGCTGCAGCCAGAGCCGCGGCAGCAGGCACTGAGCCTACGGGGAGGATGCTGACTGCACTGGGACCATTGCCCACTGGCAGGCGGGGGACCTGGAGGGAGAAGTCTCCGAAGACAGCTGTTTGGGGTGGTGTGAGCAGCCCTGGCCAGGAACTCTAGGCCCTGTCTAAAACCTTTTGTCTTTCGTGGATCCCAAGGACAGAAGACATCCTTGCCTGTCTCCCCTCAGGCCTGCAGCCCATCAGAACCTCCCCCAGTACTGATCGGTGCGCGGGATTCCGGCCACCACTTCTGACTCAATTCCGCAGTGATCCTCTCCTCTGAGGATCTTAAAGAAGCCTGGGGAAGAAAAGGAAAGTGAAGATACGGCCTGGGTTTGATCTGGCAGTACGTTTAGACTCACCTCAGGGCTGAGCAAGTCACCAAGCTCTGCCCCAGCAGTATGGGGCCTGTGGCCTTTTCCCATTTACCCACAGCAGGGTCACAGCGTCACAGGCGCCTGCACCAGTCCCACCATCCCTTCCCAATGCTGCTTCCAGGGCCCTTGGAACTGCCATGCATGGAAACGCACAGGGGCATTCTGGACGTACCCCATTGCCCTGTGGCTCTGGGAAACCCCAGGCCCCACATCTGCACACTTAGGTCATAGCTAAGCCTGGGGCCTATGGTGTGGGGCGGAGCCAAGGAGCCCTGCCCAGCTCCACGCTCAGCAGGAAGGAGGCTGCCACTCACCATTGTCACCCCAGTCGACATTCCAGGAGTTGCCCACCAGCCAGTAGGGGACACCGTTCTCCTTTCCCCAGCCCAGAATGCGGATGGCATGGCCTCCCAGCACCTCTCCAGCTACATGCTTGTACACTCCTGTGGGGAGGAAAGCAAGCTGCTTCAGACCAAACTCAGGCCACCCCACCCAGCAGCCCGGCGTACAGTGCCTGCCTGGCACAGATCCTGGGTTCTGTCCCTTGCACTGCAAAGTAAAAATTAAAAAACTAGAATGTCACTGCTTGTTATGGCTGACACACTGTGTCAACCTGAGAAGTTTAGAAGTTTAATTGAGAGACTCAGCAGGGAGGCAGGGTCCTTACTTTATAAATATCGTCATCACGTGCAGGAGAGTTTATGAGTGCTACACCTGCCCTGGAGCATGGGGGGGGGCAGCCTGGGTACAATGTAAGGAAGGAAAAGAGGCTTGTACTTTCCCCTTTTATTCTGGCTGCTACCTTGAAGTACTGCCCCAGTGCCATGGTACCCTGCCTTGCAGTCAGCTGATGATGAACTGAAACCTCCACAAACAGTGAACTAAATAAACCTTTCCTTACTTCATTTTGGGTGTCAGATGTTTTGTTCCAGAAAGAGAGAAAGGTAATATTGCTCCAGTAAAGGCTCCCGGGTTCCCAAGACACTGGAGCATAATCTATGTCTTTTTGTGCACTGCTAGGGTTGAACCCTGTGCCTCACGTGTGCTCTGCAAGCTGCCACTGAGCTATAGCCCCAACCCTCAAAACTCATGTTTGAAAGCCCAAACACTCAAAGGTATGTAGTACAAAAATGGAGCCCCCAACAAAACACACATTGTTGGTTGGCTTTAAAAAATAAAAGATCTAGGCCGGAGATTTAGCTCAGCAACATAAATGCCTGCCTGGTAAGCACAAGGTCAGTTGGTTCAATACCAGTACCAACAAAACAAAACAGTCTAATAAATGCTAATGTATGTAACTAATGCAACGCTAAATGACCAATAATCTATTTTCCATCCTGCAATTCCACGCAAGGGTTCATTTGTCAAAGGATTACATAGCTTGAAGAGTTTTAAACCACAGCTTTGAGAACCAATGCAGGGGGCAGTTACGAGAAGGACTGGTGAAGATGGTGCTGGCTGATGGGTAGACACTGGCCTTGGGCTCAGGGATTGATCACTTGGCTGCCCAGGAGGTGAGTAGTGGATCTGCAGGTGCATCTTGGGCACCATGGGTGGCCAGGCTGCAGTTCCAGGGTACAGCGCTTGCCCAGCATGCCTGAGGCTCCAACTTTCCCTCCCAGGACAGGGAAAGGCAAACAACAACTACTGTTCCCACAGCACTGTCCTTGCTCGGCCATCTTCCTTTGTCCTGTCCTTGTGTTCTAAGGGTTATGAGCACCAGCAGTGAGGATGGAAGTGAGAAGGAATTTCAAAGGAGCTCTGTAGACAAGGGTGGGGACTGTGTAGTTTCTGTCACTGTCATCCACAGCAAGGTCCTCTGTCTCATTTATCACCCATGGGTGAGGATGTGAGACCCTAGGGCTTTGCACCGTTATCCACGGATAGGGGACCCAGGTATGGGCAGAGTGGGCACAGCTGGTGGCACAGGTCCCACCAGGGGAAGCCTGGCAAGGAGGAACAAGAAAGCCGAACGGGGGAGGGGGGCATGGTATGCAGAGATGCAAGGAGCGCAGCCTCCGCCCTGCCCCAGGTCTCAGGGGCCACAGCACCCACCTGACTTGTAGGTCAAGAAGTCTGAGAACACGCTGAAGGCGGCCTCCACTGGGCCGTTTTTGTAGATCTCCGCCATGATCTCCTTCTCAGTACTGGGGACGCTGTAGGAACTGTAACCTGGGGAGGCCCGAGCAGGCGTGGTGAGGCACGGATGGAGGGAGGGCCTCCAGGGGACAGCTGAGTGTCGCCCCCACAAGGGAAAGGAGGGGCTTCCCTAGGTAAGGCATGCATGGGCCTGGGAGCAGGCAGTGACCCTGGGCAGATGCAGCAGACAGAGGCTGGGTGGCTCAGGATGTGAGCACAAAATGAGGGTTCTGCCCTTGGAGCTCTGAGGGGCCAAAGCTGGATTCGGGGTACAGCAGGCAGCTTGTGGGATGGGCACATTTCCTGCCCTCCCCGGGGGTTCCTGGTGTCCCCAGCCCAGCCCACCATACCATAGTACTTGTCCTCCTTGTAGGATGGGGAGTAGCCGGGCTCACAGGTCTTGCTGCACTTGGGGGTGTCGCCACCCTCCCCCGTGCACTTGGGCCGTGTGCCGTTCACATGGTGCTCGCAGGGAGGGATAGAGTAGGGCCTGCAGCCTGGGGCAGAGCAGATGGAAAGGTGGCTACCTCACACTGGCTGGCCACATCCTGCCCCATCTGTAGTCTTGAGCCCTGCCCTCTGCTTGCTTGAGGCCTTCCCTTTCTGATGGGAAAGCTGTGAGAGCTCCCCACTTAGGAAGCCACAGGGGCACCCAGGGCTGCAGGCCACACTCACCCACATGGGAGCCATACAGGCCACCAGAAACCAGGCCTTTTCTTGTCCAGTACTTCCATGCTTCAGTGGGATAGCCACCGTTACAGCTGAAAAACAGCACCAGTCACACTCATGAGCAGAGAAGCCCTAGCTCCCCCAGTCTGGCTTGGCTTCCAGGGCAGGCTGGGCCTACGCTGTGCTCATTGGATCAAACAGAGCCTAGACTGCCCCTGCCCAGCTAAGCCCTGCCCAGAGCCTCCCCTGGTAGTGGGCCCTCCTGCTTGTGTCTATGCCCAACGAGGCTGTACCCCTCCCTCAGCCTGCACCAGTGATTCTCGGCTACCATGAATCACAATCCAAGGTGCAGCATCCCACCTCCTTCTGCCATCAACCAGGGTCCAAAAACTGTATGGAAAATTGCAGTCCTGACTCCCGAGCTTTCAATTTCATGCTGTTCTGTGCTGGCGGGAAGGGGGATAAAAATCTCAGTCCTCAGGGGCTGGGGATTTAGCTCAGCGGCATAAGCGCCTGCCTTGCAAGCAGGCAGTCATGAGTTCGATCCCTGGTACCGATAAAAAAGGAAAAAGACAAAAAAAAACCAAAAAAATCTCAGTCCTCCTCCCTCCTACACTGCATGAGGGCCGACCGCCCCTCCCCACAGGGTCGCACGCACTGTGACCATTAGTGGCTGCACGTGGAGTCACTGCTAGGGGACCGCTCCCTGAGTTACTAATGGGCCCAGAGGGAGGCAGGGGTCGGGGGCACCAAATTAGCTGTGATTCACAGCCAGGATAAAGGCTTTTGACAGGATGGCCAGGATCTGACGTCAGAATGCAGCACAGAAGAAGCGAATGCTGGCTGCTGGCTGCGTGGCGCTGCCTTCCCTCTCGGTGGTGTTCTGTGAGCGGGTGTGTTTATTTTTTCCACACTTACTCTGCCACTTTTTTTATCTTGGGGAGGGGTCTCAATATGTAGTTCAGGTGAGCTCTGAACTATTATAGCCTAGGCTGGTGGTCCCCAGCACTGGAATCAAAGACATCCTCCTCCACGCCTGGCCTTGCAAAGCACTTCATTCTCCTTATTTAAAAAACTTTTGTACCTTTTATAAATGTAAACCTCCACGTCTTGGTTGTCTCACCCAATTCTGGCACAAGACTAACAATGCTGGCCACCTGTATATGCCAAGAGAAGCCGGACAGTGCTTCCCTTCCTTTAAAAAATTCTCAGGGAAAAATCCTCAAACCAGAAGTCATGGCCTCACTGGGAGTGACAGATGCTTAGTCCAGAACAAAACAGTAGAGCAAAATAGCACTAGATTTTTGTATACCACTTAAAAAAGCTGTGTCTCTAGGTCTGTCCCCAGGTCTTAGGGCAGGCAGGCACCCTGTGCATGAGGAGTGACCCTAAACTTAGGGGTTTCTGAGGCCACTGCTCAGGGTGGGGACAGGGTACTGTAACTCCCATGCTTTCCCATCTCAGCTAGCATGGAGCATACTCTCAGACCCTCGGCCAGACGCTGGCAACGTCAAGCTCCTGCGTTGCTTTTCTGCTTCTTTGAGATAGGGTCTTACCAGATGGCTCAGGCTGGTCTTGAACTCTGTGTAGCCCAGACTGGCTTTGAACTTTTAGCAGCTCTCCTGCCTCAGCCTCCTGAGTGCTGAGATTACAGGTGTGTGCCACTGTAGCTGGCTTATGAGTTAAGGGTTTAGTGTGATCCACTTAGGGCCTAACTATAGACAAGGCAACGGGTGCAAAAGAGGACATTTTTCCAGGAAGAAAAAGGAGTAAGTAAGGACAAAACTTAACTGGGAAACCAGGCATGAAAGGCATGCTGAAATTCCAGTACTCAGGAGGCTGAGGCAGGAAGATGGCCAAGAGTTGAGGCCAGCCTGGGATATGTAGTGAGTTCAAGGCTAGCTTGGAGTATCTAAGTGAGTCCTTCGCTCAACCCCTGGTGCAAAAGAGACCCCAAAAACCCAAGTGGCGCTCAGAAATGTACCCACCTTTTCTGAGCCAGGGCTTTATCAGAACTGGCCCTGCCCAGCTCTTCAGGGCCACCCTGGCTTTCCCAACAGCAGCCGCCACCCCAGACATGCCAGGCCTCCCTGCCTGGGATGGGTGAGACTCACCCCTCCCCACACAGGGGCCCACAGCAGCTGAGCAGGTCCTCGGCAGACACTTCCACATTGACGTGCCCATTGGTGTGGATACACAGCCGGTCTGACATGGCCTCTACGGCCCCAAACGCCTGCGGGGACAAAGATCACTGGCACAGGTCCCAGAATGCCCCTGTGTGGATGGCAGACCCTCTAGGTCCTGGCCCTTGGTGTCACATGAGGCCTCTAGGTTCATACTTGGCTTTAAAGGGACTAGATGCAGTCAGGGCTCCACTCATGTGTGGGCTTCAGAGTCGCCCAACGCAGAGGGGTGGTGAGGCAGTGTGGATGGAAGGACAGCTGAACCCTGCAGAGGCCAGGTGCAGCTCAGCAGCAGAGCAGCCACTGGCCTGGGTGTGGGCCTCAGCGTGGGGGTGGGGCTTCTTTGGATGTGTGCAGCAATGGCTGCACAAGCCTGTGACCACGTTCCCTGCCACTGATCTGTATGCATACACTTTACAGCTGTAATTGAGGCTGTTCAGGAGGCTGAGGCAAGAGGATCCCGGGTTGGGGCCAGCCTGGGCAACTTTTAGGTTTCCTGCCCAAAAATAATTGTAAAAAATGGGGTGGGACTGAATAGTAGAGGGATTCAATCTCCAGTATCATTTAGAAAGAGAGAGAGAAAAAGAGAGAGATGGTTGTATTTCCTGTAATATATATTTCAGTATAAATCAAAAACAAACATTAAGATGGGAAGAAAAAGCCAGGCACGATGGCCCATGCCTGTAATCCCAGCATTCAGGTGGGCTGAGGCAGGAGGATCCTTGCAAGTTTGAGACCTGCTTGGGCTAAAAGTGAGCTCAAGGACAGCCGAACCGCATAACAAAACCCTGTCTCAAAAAGACAGAAAGACACAGACTGAGCAGCAGCATTTCCTGACTGGAAGCAGCTACGTAGCCCTCATTGCACCTGACCCCTGTGCTGCCTCCTGACCACAAGGATCATTCTCATCACAGCCAATCGTGCTCAGAGGTGCCCACCCATCACTCCAGACCAGCTCTTAGCGCCTCAACCTCAGGGGCACAGGGTCTCACCCAGCAGGAACCACAGGAGCCCTGGTCTCTGATCTCTTTGATGGTTGGACAGTTGGGCCACTGCTCCCGGGCATCAAAGCTCTCAGGCAGATCCAGGTCCTCAGCAAACTGAACCCTGGAGGAAGCAAGGTCTCCTTATAGACTCACATCCTCAACTCAACTGTTCCCATGAAGGCCACTAGACTCTGAGCAGTGCACGTGCTGCTTGGCTAGGAGGAAGACGCCCTGAGACGCCAAGCCAGCATCAAGGGACCGAGGACCCAAAGCCCATTCCACTGCTCAGGGCGGCCCAGCACCCCACCAACTTCTCGAACTCACTGTGTGTGCCCTAGGCCAGGCCTCCTGATCCCCACCCCCCCACCTGTCCAGGTACCTCAGTTGCTTCTTAAATGGGCTAACATTTACTTTATGCTTTCTGATGTTCCTCTTACTGAAACATCTCTAAGCAAGGGGAGAAGAACTCATTCTATGGTCTCAGAAGCTCCTGGGCCTTCTGAGTCCATCCAGGCCTTGTGTGCCACGCCTGGACCTCACCCCACTCTGAGACTCCATGGACAGCAGTTCGGAAACATCAGGCTTGCGTACTGAGGCGGTCCTGCAGCTCTGGGGATGGTCTGCCCCCTCCCCTCCAGAGGTACCCAGGAGTTCCTGCTGCTCAAGGGGTACGGCAGGGCCTGGTACGGGCACTCACCTCTGGGGCAGCCTGGGCCCACCCAGGTAGGTGCCGCACAGTCTCTTCACGTAGCTGATGTCCACATTGTGAAAGTTGCGTCCAGCCTGGAACAGAGCCACACCCACAATGACTGTCACCCCCCCAACCAGGGCCTCCTCAGGGTGTGGGCAGATGAGCCCCCTCCCTGCGAATGGCCTATCCCAGGAAGGCTAGGGGTCCCACCAGGCTCAGACAAGGGTGACCCAAGGGCACAGCAGCGCAGATCTACCTGTGCTTGCTAAGAGGACCCCTCCCCCATCCAGCCCTGGACACGGCTCCTTCCTCAGGACTCACACCCTCACATACATGCACACACCATACCTCCAGAGTGGGCTTCCCAAGACCCACCCCATCCCATCCAAGCCCACCTCCTCCTCCACAGCTGTACTTGCACACTCATGCGTGCCCTCCCTCCCTCCCTGTCTCTCTCTCTCTCTCTCACACACACACACACAGAATGAATGATAGGCAGAAGTGGTATGATCCTGAATGTCATGGTCCAGGACAGACCATGTCCCTGGGGAGCTGGCAGCACAGCTGGAGCGAGGACACACAGATGTCACCCACCTGCCACGTTGTGTTCAGCTTATTGACATAGTTGACCAGCTCGTCAGACAGCGGGTGGAACCATGGTGCATTATAGGCGCTGGTCAGTGCCAACAGGAGGTAGAGAGAGGCCAAGGACTGCCACATCCTGAAGCTGGGCAGAGGACCCACCTGCCAAGGACAGCACAGGAAGCGTCAGGAAGGCTCCCCTCCACGTGCACGAGAGGCACACGGATTTGCTGGTCTCGACCTCACTATGTCACTATGTCACTCAGGCTGGACATGAACCACTGCGATCATCCTGCTTCAGCCTTCTGGGTGCTGGGATCACAGTGGTGGCGTCACGCCTGGGGCAGTGGTCACAGACACATCTCACTCACAAGGGATTTGTGTATTCAAACAGAGGCAGAGTTCCCGAGTGTGATGCTGGCTCATGTGCCATTTACTTTGCAGTCACTGTTTTATGATCACCCCAGAAGCCCCCTCCAGGCCTGAGGGCCAGAGCCAGGTAGAGATGCAAGCTACTGTTCTGTGACTCAGCCGAGCTATGGTCCCCTCCACTATTTTTTTGTTTTGTTTTGTTTCTTCTTCTTTTTTTTTCCCTCCACTATTTTTAAACTGCACGGATTTGTTGAATGCGGTGCTTGGGAGATTGTTCCTGAGTTGGTGGTAAGAGAGCAGAGCCACCTGCGGGACAGGGTCCCGAGGGAGGGGAGTGTGCTAGAAAAACAGTAAGACAAAGAATGTGCACAGCTGGGGGTGGTAGCATACATCTGTAATCCCAGCACTTGGGGGGCTGAGACAGGAGGATCACTGCCAGTCCTAGGCCAGCCTGGGCTATGGAGTGAGACCATATCAGAAAAAACAAAACTGAAACAAAACAAGACAAAAAGTGTTCACTGGCCCCTTATCCATCACACTCACATAAACATGTGGTGTGTGCCAGGTGGGGAGACAGGCAGAGCCAGCAGCTCCCTGAGACCCTCTGGTATTTCCAGTCTGCCCAGGGCTCTGCTTCAGGCTGCCTGGGGAGTAAACCCTGCCCCATGACGTGGACTGCAGGTCATGAGACCCACAGTTCCCAGCACACCCATGAGTCACCCTCTTGGGCAAGCAGCTAACAAAGAGCAGGAAGGGCTCCCAGGTGCCCTGCACGGAAGGAGCTTAGCAACAGCCAAGTCCACAGAGGCACAGGAGAGAACTCGCTGCAGGATTAAGTCTGAACAAGACAAAAGTTTATTAGTAAGCACAAATCCCTTTAGAGGAGCCTGTAATCCCAGCACATGGAGGCTGAGGCAGGAAGATACTGTGAGTAAAAGCCCAGCCTTGGCACCTTAGTAAGACCCTGTCTCAAGGAGGGGTGGGGTGGGGGATGACGATGACCTATAGCTCATTGCAAGCCCTATGTTCAATCCTCAATGCTGAAAGAACAAAGCAAAAACTGATACAGATATGGCCAGGCAGGCAGCTCAGCACTGAGTCAGTCCCCAGCAGCCCCCCAATTTTCTAAACTGGGGATGTGGTTCAGTAGTAGAGGCAGAGTACATGCTTAGGGTAAGGTTGTAGGTTCCATGTAAGCCAAAACAAATAATCATACTAGAAAAAATAACAGAAGATAGATTCAGTGACTGCAGAAAACTATAAATAGGTGTAAAACTGCTTAAATTCTGCTGGGTATGGTGGAACCTGTCTGTAAACCAAGCACCCTGGGAGACTGAGGCCTGAGGATTGCAAAAAAGAAAAAAGACCTGCAATCCTAGCACATGGGAGACTGAAGCAGGAAGACTGCTGTGAGTTTGAGGCCAGCCTGGACTCCATAGCGACACCGTCCCAGAAAGACAGAAAGTTCAACTGTAGGAAGGTGCAGACACAACCAAGGACACACACTAGGGATCTCTGCAGGGGCTGGCATGTGCGGTACTGGTGATGCCCTTCGACAGTGATGCCTGCAGTTCCCATATCAGCACCTGTCCCTTCGGCATTTCTCCCACAGCTGTGCTGGTCCTGAACGCGAAGACACAGGTACTCAAGCTAAGCACCCTTTACACGAAGGAAACATCCCACACCATCGCCCAGTGCCCCCGAGATGACTGGGTGATGGGGAGGCGGGGCTTGAGTGTTAAGCAAGGTGCCTGTAGCGAGCAGTTCCGTTGCTGCACGCAGATGTCAAGAAAGATCAGGAGCCTGGGGCTGTTGGGAACCGCTCTTGTTTTCCACTCAGCTGCGTGCACCTGCAAAGGCCACAGTGAGCGCCTGATCCTCAGCATGGGATGGCCAGGACCCACTTCCAGGGGCCTCATTTGTCCTCTGGCCCTTCGCCTCTCCTTGTCACCTGCACCGCCACCAAGATGCCGTCACTGTGGTGTGGCCCAGCCTAGGAGGCCCTCACTGGAGCCCAATGCAGGGGGCCTCCTAACCTTGGGCTTTTTGCCTCAAAACTGTGAGCTAAACAATCTTGCTTTTTTTTTTTTTTTTTTTTTTTAACATAAGGCACCAACCTTAGGAGTTCTGTTATGGAAACAGAACCCCTACCCCCACCCCCCTGTGGTACCGGCCATCGAACTCAGGACCTTGTGTTTGTAAGGCATGCACTTATGCCGCCCACCCCACCTCTTAAAACAAACTTTCTTGTACTTCCAGTATGTGTTTGTTTTTGGGAGAAGAGCAGCATTAAAAAGATCCTGAGCCCTCAAATTGATAAAAGATCATTTACAGCCAGGCATGGTGGTACACACCTGTAATACCAATTCTCAGGAGGCTGAGGCAGGGGAATTGCTATGAGCTTGAGGCCAGCCTGGAATACAAAGCGAATTCAAGGCCAGCCTGAACTACATGGTAAGACCCTGTCTCATAAAAACAAAAAAGAAAGAAAAAGATCATTTAAATGGACCCGAGTGAATTCCCGTCACATCTCCAGCCACCAGGAGCTTTCCAGCCTTGATACTTCCTGCTGACACACTCCGAGCCCCACTTCCACTGACATAGCGTGACCACGAAGCAGCCACCCACGGGGCCTGTAGGCTGTTGGACCGACATGCTTCTGGGAGAAAAGTGTAAGTCAGGTTCCTGTCTCACTCTGAAAACCTCCGATCCCCATTGCCAGCAGGTGGGCACCAATGTGCTGGTACCCACTAGGACCTGGGCTCTGCTGCTCCTGTGTGGGAAAACGGGAGTGTCCCTGAGCTCTGTGGGAAGCTTGGCACCTGCTATGATGTTAAATCCTAAGCCAAGAGCATCTGAAGGTTTCCATGGCAACTGGAGCTTTAAGCATTTCTTTAGTGCCTGTGGTAGCCAAGAGGGGCCCCTCTCCCAGGTGGTCCCTGGCTCTGGCAGACTGATCAGCTCTGAACTCCCAGGTTGGGAGCCAGCAGATTCGGTGCCAGCTCCATAGAATCTTACTTCCCCGCCTAGAAAACAGGGCTAAGGTGTGGGTGGCAGCAGGAGGCCCTGGCATAGGCTCTGATGTCACAGGTGCTGACAGTTCCCACCTGAGCAGGTCCCTTTTCACTCTTCCCCCACCTCTATGCCCGGGCTGGTGCCTGCAGTTCATGCCAAACACCCACTACAAGGAGTCGGAGTGAAATCCGCTTTTCCTCAGGAACCACTGCAGCTCACACCCCAAGGGCCTCCGCCTGAGATCCTGACACTGCTGAGGCCAACTGTCCCCTCCTGCAAGGGCAGGACACCCCTGAGGCCAGGCACATGGTGCCTACAGAACCCTTGAGGAGAAAGGACCCACTGCCTGTCAGCCAGGCAGTCACGGTTCTGCTCCTTCCCACTTTCTCTTCCCCTGGGTTAGGCAAACACTTCCCTTTATTTGCCAATTCTGTGATTTTTTCCTTGATTTCAAAAGATGAACACACAGTTATTTTGGCCAGGGATTTAGCTCAGTGGCACAGCACTGCCTGGCAAGCACGAGGGCCTGAGTTCCTTAAGCCCCTATTTTCGGGCCAGCCTCCCCTTCCAGGTGTGGGTGGCTGGAGGCCAGCTGAGGACAACTGGGCCTACTGCCACCCCAGCCCTTCCCGAGCTGATCTCTGGCTCTCCTCTTCCCTGCCTTTCCAGACCCACAGGCTCACAGCCCTGAGCAGGGACAGGGCCTGTCCGAGAGCCTTCGTATGAGGGAAACTGTTCCAGGAACACACTGATGCTATCCCGGTGCAGGTACAGTCCTCGGGACTCTGGCAGGAAAGGGATGATGGAGCAGTGGCCTTTGAAGTCACCTCCCACCCTGGAGAACGGGCTGGCCACCTGCAAGCTTGAGCAAGCCTCTCCTGTGCCAGGGCCCCAGGCAGACTGGTTCATAATGCATAGGGATGTAAGCAAAGAGGACACATATGCCTAAAATTCCCCACCAGGCCAGCTGCCATCTCCTGGTAAACGGGTTACCAGGTCCAACTCCCACAGTAGTCCTTGGTCCAATGTCCCTTCTCCTGCCCCAGAGCTGTGGCGCCTGTCAGGCCCTGCTACAGTGGCTTCTAGAGCACCCCCATTTTACTGACAGCCACCCAGAGCTGGGCAGGCTTGGCAACAAGCAGCACACTGGGCGGGGGAAGGTAGGATAGATAGAACAGAAGGGTGACGAGTAGGGGGGGCACAAGGCCACTTTCCCACTATCCTGCTCCACAGACAGTGTCTAGGCTACTCCTCAAGTTCTGACCCTGCAGTACCCCTACACCACGGGGCTGTGCATACCTTCAGCTCCCAACTTCCTGTGCCTGCCTGCCTGGGGAGATCTCCACAGTGGGCTGCCTACACTGGGGGTGGCGGGGCTGGGGATCCTCAATCTGAAGCTTAGCCCAGCATGGTCCGTCTCACTTTGTGTGTCTGCCCCTAATGGAATAGTGTGAGCAGACTCCTGGTTCAGCATGTTTATTTATATTCTTCCCCGAAAGAACACATGCTGACAGGTTCCGGAATTTTACAATACTAAAGATGCAAGATGTTGCATCTAAAATGCTTATAAATAGAAAGGACTATGTAAGAAGAAGTAGGGAGTGCGCACAGTTCTGTGCAGAGTGCTTGCCTGGCAAAAGGAGCCCTGGATTCCCCCCCAGAAACCACATCAAGCCCTTAGACAACTAGAAAGGGCCACCTCTGCCGCCTTCTCAGCAGGAAGTGGTTTCTGGGTCCCTGGAAGCCAGGACCACTGTGACCTACCCCTGGCATCT